AGCGCCTCATTCGGAAGTGGCTTACTGAGAAGTGAAACATTAATCAGTCCTAAACTATTTTATTTTAATAATATTAAATCATGATCACTCCAATTATCACTTCTTCAATACCCTAATCCACAGTAAACCAGCTTATAGTACCTTTCGCAACAGCCTGACGTAGCTGTTCAACAATTTGTTGCGTTGAAGCAGACATGGTTGCATTGCCCATACCATCTGGCGGTATCCAACCATTTTCTAGTGATGAAGGCTGATGTTCAGATAGAATTTCCCAAAGAGTTGGAATGGTTGTTGATTTCACAGTTCCTGAAGCCGAACGATTATCCCATCCTAAACGAACAGTTTCAAAAAATATTTCCGGAAAAAAATGTGAAATCACTCAGTTCAAATGCAACCTGGCCAGTAAAATGATCCTTAGCCATCAGGTTCTTAGAATAATTAAACCCTTTTCAATACACCCAGAAAAGCATACAATGCCAATCCAGAACAATCAACAACGTATGAACAACCAGATTTATAACAAACCTGATGAAACCATGACAGCAATTGCTTGCGCACTTTTAGCTGGCCACGCTGGAAGAGAATTCGTCGAGATCGGTGCAGCATTATTATTCGATGATTTTGAGGGAAGATCGTCCCAACCAAGAGGAACGATTACACGAATGCCTGAAATGAAATATATTTTCTTGAGGCGAATAGAATAAGCACCGACTAACAGAAACATAGGAATTCTGTTACATTTCTGAAAGCCAAACTTACCGCTTTCATTATCTGAGTTATCGCACTCTTTTCCGACTGGTATAATCCATCGTTTGATTTCTTCTGAAAGATTGAACTGATAACACTGTTATCAATAAATTCAATAAAGTGCAGTCATATGATAAGTAAAAAGACAACTTTGTTGCTTCTCAGGATCACCCCATGCAACAGTACCAATATCTCGTTGCCATTTACGTACTTCACCTTCTGGATCCTGCCAGACAGCATTATCTCCCATAAACTGCAAACAGCAGTGATAAGATTTAAAATCCTGGACATGGCGCAAGCAAGTATAAACAGAACAGATGAAATGAGGATGTGTCGTTTCAAAAATGGAAAATCAGTAGAAAAACACCAACTGAATCAGATGTGGAGACTTGTGAATACGAATTGAAAGTGTTGGAAGGAGAAGAACAATTCACAAACTTTTGGGCAAATTGTGGTTTTGGTACAACAGTTACTGTTGCACCATTGCTACCTATTGAAGGATTCCATTGTGTCAACCCATTTGGCATCTAAAATGATGAAATGCTTAGTCAATGATATTGATTTTTATCATGTGTTTCATCGAATTTGATTAAGTCACAATTTTTAGTCTTCAAGATAAATCAAAATAAATCGCGATGAAACTGGGTGTCCCTAAAACAACAACGAACCTTTCAAAATATCATTCAAGAAATTCCATAAAACACTTTAACTTCCTAATACACCCAACAGTACTTCCTTAATGATGTTTGGCATAATGAAGATGGAAGAAATTACACTGTACTTGACAGTAGGTGGCGAGAGATACATTCCATTGACTGTATTGTTTACAGCTGGTGTGCCACCCCAAACATTTTGCAGCCGACTTCGTTGCGGTGGTGGAATTGCAGACTGTGGCACCGGCGGCATCACAGCGTTACGATGTGGCATCACAGCGTTACTTTCGAATGGTGGACTGCTGAATCGTGTCGGCGGAGGAAAAACGTTACCACGTGGTGCATTTTGCTGCCAGCCTATGAAGATTTAAAAAAAAAAGATTAAAAAACACAATTATTTCACACATTAATTCAATTACTTACTTGCAGCATAAGCAGGCGGTGGTGGAGCTATTGGAAATACTGAAGGACACTGAGCACCACCCCAAACTTGCTCTTCATTTGACCATAATTTATTTTGAGTCAAACCACCACAAAATGGTACTACTGCTCGTACTATTTGTGACTGCGTAGACATATCCCAATTTCGTTGTTCTAAAATACTCCCAAAACATATCTGAGGTACAATCGAAACATTTATTAGCCCCAGCAATAAAACAGTAAAACAAAGAATGAAGTACCAACCAATTTCAGGTTGCGACCATCCACTTGTTGTGCCACAACTAGTAAACGATGGAGGAAAATGGCTAGTTCCTATAATTAATATTGCAATTAATATGGTATCTTCTTCCAGTCATTCTTAAAACAAAAAACTTGAAAAATGCTAGATGATATAATATTCTTGTTCATATATATCTGAATGACGACACTTAGGACTATAATTATTTCAGTATGCCGTTATAAAAGAGAACAAATTTTTAAATAGAACATATAAACAAGAAAACAAACAAACAAAGAAATAAACAAACAAGAAAGAATCAATCGTCCAATTTTAAAAAAGGCAAAATCAAACTTGATTTAGTGCATAAAATCGGAGGTCAAAAACTACATTCGAAACAAACCACTTAATGGTTCCTGTTCTAAGGAAAACTGGTTGATAGGCGTTGCTTGCCAGATACCCAATGCTTCATTGATGTTTGCTTCTGAAGTATGTTTAGTATTCTAGAAAAATATGGCTCTTTTAATTTTCCAATTCATTGTCTTCAAATAGCTGAGAATACTAATGCAACTGAAATGAAATTTTACCTAATGATTTTGGCTCTTGCCAGACAATTTTCGCATTACTATTACGAAAAGCCGGTGGTACAATTGATCGCATATGCTCATCGAATACTGCATTACTAGTGTAATCACTAACACTACTCCAACGATTCTGCAAAAAAATGCTTCTTCAGACAAATGCACATCTGGTATGTTTACAAAATGATTTCAGCACTTTTGAATGAAAGCTACAATACGTTATACAAGAACAACTACCAAAGATTAACTGTAATCACCTGGAGAATCTACTTGCAATAAAAACCCAGTAAATTGCGATGTGATTTTCTCTACCTCTTCTAAAACATTTATTAACAACAATTACCTGCTGTTGTTCAATGCTCCACGAATTCAGCGAAGCTGTTTCAGCTTGTGTACTATCAACTGGAGCCCACATGAGGCCACTTCTTTTACTTCTCTACGACCTCTCGTTAATGAATATGGTTAGTTCCTGAATACAACGTACGTATATGTTCTACTAATAATATTTATAATGGATCTCGCGGCGCGGCGAAGAAAACATATTTTTGTAAATAGTGCAATATCAAAAATAAAAGAATAAACCGGAGCAACTTTGTTAAACAAGTTTTGTATCCCTAAAATACGATTTAGTTTCTCAACATTAGCACATATTTATATTATGTTGAAAAACTTAACTTCTTTCTATACATTTAACTGAATAATTTTTAATACAAGAAACATAAGTTGCGACATAATTATTACAGCATACCAACCAAAAATCAGAGAAATCATCAAGGCGAATTTATTTTCTACACAGATAAAATGTTTCATATCATTACAGAAGCTAGTGTTGCGGGTTTGTATTCTGCAATTTCACTTATTTCATATTCCACATCATGCCGTGAAATTGCTGGCACACTGGCAGCTGATAATTTCGAGGATTCATCTAAACTTCAATCTCAAAAATCCAAACCCCCAAGATTTATCTGTGTAATCATTAGCTTTATGGCTATCATATCGTGTAATCATTAGCTTTATGGCTATCATATCAGCAATTGGTCTACTTCACTAATATAGTGATAATTATACCTTGCTTTTATAGTGATAATTATAGACCTTAATTTACCATTTATTTCAAATTTCATAATGCGTTTAAGCATAGAAAGTGGCTGACCATATACACCTTTTAAATGCCTTAGAAATTTGATTTATTATTACTTCGTTTCAGTAACTATGCACAATTTTCCATCATTGCAATTAATTCGCCGCATTAACAGACTCTGTGTCATAAGATTAAAGAAATCAAATCAAACACAATAAAGCAAAACTCATTTGCAATAAGTAGACATATTTTAACAGCAAAAGCGATTAGGAACTTCTTTAAAAATAAACTATTACAAATTTATTACGGAACTGAATAAGTTGTAGCGTTTGATTTTAGTGGTGACAAAAACTAATTGATAATTTTGCATAAGAAACACAAAAGGATGCACTATCTCATATATCTAATCAATTCCACATGGCACTTACAAAGCGTCTTTTCCTATCACTATACTAGAGCAATGGTATACGAAAGAAACAAAGTAACGGTAACCGCTTTTGCAACCAATTAAGAAACTGCTCAATGTGACCCGTTGCCAAACGATCTAAATCACCATATGCTACAATAGCACATTAAATAAATAGGAATCTTACATCTTTCCGTAAACCATTTTGAAGAAAATCAATGCTCTGATATCAAAACATTTCATTACTAACAGTCCTATTTTTACTTTCTTATTGCTATTCATAAGTTTAGAACTTATGAATAGCAATAGTATAAAAAGAGATAATTTATAAGGATGTATTTATCACACACATTGTTTACACAAAGTATGATACACAAGAATGAAGCGCAAAGATGTCTTTTCCTAAAAAAGCGAAAACAGATAACTTTATCATTTTAATACTTGTCCCAAAATATTATAAGCTAATGAAGCAGCAGCTAGCCAAGGCCAAGTTAGATGTACTCTGAAACAGTTGATCTTGTCGAGAGAGAGGGAGAGAGAGTGAGGGTGATGTGCACCACAATGAACAACAAATGAAAGGAATAAGTGCGCCTCAAACATGGACCATGCGATCATCACCATCTCAAATGGTAGTTAGTCTAAAGAAGAACCGAATCGTACGTAACACCGAAGAGATGGCCTAAGCATAAACAGATGGGTAGGTAGGTAGATAGATAGATAGGTAGGTAGGCAGGGAGAAGGTAGACATGCAAGAAACATGCCCCAGGATAGGCAAACATGATGGGATCAGTGCTATAGAGCATAAGCAATAACAGCAACTCAGAGGGAGAGAGATGAATGCAGAGAGAGTGCGATATCTGAGAGAAATGGGTGCATGGTGCACAGCACAGCACAGCGCACATCACCACGATGTGCGCTGTGCTGTGCTGTATTAAACGTTCCACTTGTCAATAGCAACACAATTCGGAACCCCTCGGATCAACCAGCACCAGCAGCACTGTGTGCATCTCCGCTCTGTAGCACACCTCTCCTCTCCATTCTGCCTAGTTTGGCCATTACTTGCCCATTGTAGAGTAACAGTCCATCTATGTGTGTGTGTGCTTAGCAACAATGTCTCCTTCCTGGTCGTCATCAATTGTTGGACTTCTGGAAGAGACCAGGAGAGCATTGTGTCACACGTCTCCTTGCTTGCCCTTATCCTCCAGAACCATCCATTTTGCGCACATCACAGTGCCACATACTCTAATGCACAACTCATAATAATAATACCTGAAGTGTAGGCAAAGAGAAACGATGACAATACATATTCAGTAACCTGCATGAAATAAATGACTTGCAATTGTGACTCTCTCTCTCGTTCTATCCTTTTTCTGCATCCATTGTGACCTTCACAAATCTAGTTCCTCCCTACTCTCTATCTGCAAAAAGTTCCACTTACAACAACAACACAAAATAAACATCAACACTTGCCTTCTTCCTTTCCAATCTTTCCAAAATAGTTAAAGAAACAATCGTTAGTCACGGATTACACTATCCTAAAATCCGCAGTGGATCGATCTGGTATCTTAATTTGTTCACATTTAGTGTTAGCTTCTACGTGACATTTATACGTGTAATTGAATTAAGGACGAGAATTTCATTGTTAAATTCATTAGGAAGAAACTTGTGGACGAGATTGATGTGCAAGTCACCGGAATAGAAGAGCATCAGTAAAATACAGTGATTATTACTAAGCTCATCCAATTCATATAAAAATACTATCATCTTCCCGCTCAGTAATCTTGCATATTGAAATAGCTAACTATCATGTGACCTTTGACATATCCCAATACACAGATATTATTTATTCTATCCAAAAGCATTCCTATAATAATTGTAAGAACCAAAAATCTAGGTAGGGATAAGATAAAGAAGAAGATAGAGATAAAGAAGACAAATTCTTCAATTTTTGTTCCTGTGCAAGGAATGATGATGTCACTAGATTGAAAGAACAGTTATGTTTGGGTATTTTAAATTTATCTATACTGCTTCTTTTTTTTCTCACTCATCTCGTTCATGTCCACATATTTTCTCTTCTTTCACTTCAATATTCTTCAAAAAAAAAAAAAAAAAACTACCCGAAGAGTGAAATAACAGATGCACTATGCCATCAACTAAATTGGAGTGCCGTAGACAACAAGCGTCTGTGTCCATCTCCCTCTCTCTCTTTTCATAGTGCTGTGACCAGATCACAATTAACGTACGGACTGATTAATGGTCATCTATCTCCGGTGACAGCATATGTCATAAACATATTGACCTATATATAGTACCATAAGCATGACTATAATAGTAATACTGGGTGATCATTAATATAGCATAAAGGATAATGAAATATTCCACTGAATTACACATTTCCTATTAGCATACTAAAATAACTTTGATCAGCGGATTTCTGATCTTCTTTTGACTTATTATTATTATTATTAAATGAGAATCCCAACACTACAACAAGATATGTTCAAATAGTGAATTCACCAGTGTTATTTATTTTTTGGAGAGATAAAATGTTCGTGAAAGTCCTCATGGACTGATGACATCCTGTTATTATAGGACTAAGGAGTAATAGTGAAATAAACTAAACTAGCTGCACCTCTTAACTCTAAAGAACTCGACATTAAATAAAATAAAAAATAGGTATAGCTGCAAACAATTTGTCATTTTGAAATATCTCATGAATTTAAGCGTTAAAAGGATAGAGAAATAGACGAACTGCACTATATGCCGTAAGATCTTGAAATCAAATTTCATTTGAAATTCGAATCTGAGAAACGAGCAAAATAATAAGTCATTGCCTTACAACACCCGTTTGTGCCCCAATCTAGACGAAATACAGATATACTTTTATGCATTTTCATAGTACAAACACAAGGTTGATCATTTGATATCATAAACATGAACAAGAATGCACTATTTCAGTGACAACAACGTTTGCGAAAACCCGTACATGTGAATCGGAGGTAGTTTTATAAAATTTATAGTTAAAAAGATACATCTGAAAGCTCATCAACAAATGAGTTAAATAACTAAAAATACATTTAAATGATTTCCATAAAAAATTGAACGCCTAAGTCTCCCTGTTCATTGGCAACTACAAAGACACAAATCTAATTATAATACAAAAGAATATGCATTATAAAACTTACTTCTCAATAACAGATGAGTCAGAAAAATTTTTAAAAAAAATTAAAATGCACGATTTTTAAATCTTTTGTCCAAAATTCCAAATTTCCACTTTCTACAGTCATCAATATATGACCTACTAATTCTAAAAGATTCATCAAATGACAACAAAAGTATCAGTGGAAGAAAACAAAAGAAAAAAAGACATCACAGCTCAAATAAAAAAAAAAAAAAAAACAATAAATTCGATAATTCTAGTAATCATTCTAGTACTTCTGAAAGAATTTGTGGATGGAGAGGATTAGGAATGTTTAATCGATTATTTCACTTGGAGATTGATAAAGTGAATTATCCACTAAGTTAGACGTAACGGAATGATATTCGAATAGTGATCGGAAATTTATCAAGCATACGATTTATGAACAAGAACTAAATAAACTAAGGATTAATTCAGACTATAGCATTGTCTGAATTGAGGCTTGAATCCTAGTCTATCATTATACTAGAGAAACGAAAAGTAGATTCACTGAAGAAGTATTTGAGAGTGATCAGTAGCTCAGAATTACATGCTAAAAGTAACTTTAAAAACCTGAAGTAAAAACAAATGATTTATAAAGAAACTGGATTCAAATAGCATCAATTTAAAGTACCAAAAAAATCTATTTCCTAATACACACATACATGCATCCTATGAAATGAAAAATATAAAAATTGTCAGACAGTGGCATCGATGTTGATTTCTAAAACAAATAATTCATAATCTGATGAATCGAGAATCGAAACAAAAACTCATTAAGAACTATAAGCACACGTCAGTTCAGCGCAAAATTAGAAAGAATATCTAGCAAATTAAATCCTATTGTCAGCGTTACGACGCCTTTGTTCATATTCTCCATCACGTTCTGACGGACTGTTGTTCTCCCTAGAAAAAAAAAAATAGATACTGAAGTTAAATTGAACCTATCAAAATAAGACTTAAATTTCTGTATAATCGAAAGAACAATAAACCTGAAAGACTGAAATTGAGAAAGTACATTCTTGCCTTTTCTAGCACCAATTAATTACATATCGCGAAGTCCTCCTGAAACGAACCTATATCTTTTATTTAAGGCCACAAGTTCAACAACTTCCATTGGCACCTGTCGCTGTCGTACCACATCATCTACATCATCATCTGAAATAAAAGTACGAAATAAAATTGATATCAATAGCTGTCACAGATCAGCATAAAAACGATAAAGTATTATCTATTAGATATCTACGAACTATAAATAGCAACTATGAAAACTCATCGTTTTCAGAATCCTCTAAATTCTGCTGATCAACCTGAGGTACTCCACCATCAGCACTTGGCACAGCAGCAGGCCCTGAAGTCTGCTGAAGTGTGCCATTCAGTACATGAGTTTCAGGCTGCGGCTCAAGGAAATCCCAAGTAAGTATCGTGTCATCATGGGAAGAAGACACTATTTGAAATTCATCAAACTGCAGACGAAAAACCCGACCTGTGTGCTCCTGAAGTTAAAAATATAGTGATATTGTTATATCTGTAGAGAAATGATACGAGTTAATGAATTAATCAAAATATCTTCTAGTGATATTGTTATATTTGCAGAATTATGGCATGAATTAATCAAAATGTCTTCTAGTGATCTTGTTATATTGGTAGAGAAATGGTATGAGTTAATGAAGTAATCAAAATGTCTTCTAGTGATATTGTTATGTCTGGAGTCAAATAGTACGAGTTAATGAAGTAATCAAAATGTTTTCTAGTGATATTGTTATATCTGTGGAGAAATGGTACTAGTTAATGAATTAATCAAAATGTCTTCTAGTGATATTGTTATATCTGTAGAGAAATGATACGAGTTAATGAATTAATCAAAATGTCTTCTAGTGATATTGTTATATCTGTAGAGAAATGATACGAGTTAATGAATTAATCAAAATGTCTTCTAGTGATATTGTTACATCTGTAGAGAAATGATACGAGTTAATGAATTAATCAAAATGTCTTCTAGTGATATTGTTACATCTGTAGAGAAATGATACGAGTTAATGAATTAATCAATATGTCTTCTAGTGATATTGTCATATCTGTAGAGAAATGATACGAGTTATTGAATTAATCAAAATGCCTTCTAGTGATATTGTTATATCTGTAGAGAAATGATACGAGTTAATGAATTAATCAAAATATCTTCTAGTGATATTGTTATATTTGCAGAGAAATGGTATGAGTTAACGAAATAATCAAAATGTCTTCTAGTGATATTGTTATAATTGCATAGAAATGATATGAATTAATCTATTATATTAGAAGAGAAATGGTATGAATGAATCAAAAATGATATGAATTAATCTATTATATTAGAAGAGAATTGTCATGAATGAATCAAATCGTCTTCTAGTGTTATTGTTATAATTGCATATAAATGATATGAATTAATCTATTATATTAGAAGAGAAATGGTATGAATGAATCAAAAATGATATGAATTAATCTATTATATTAGAAGAGAATTGTCATGAATGAATCAAATCGTCTTCTAGTGTTATTGTTATAATTGCATAAAAATGATATGAATTAATCTATTATATTAGAAGAGAAATGGTATGAATGAATCAAAAATGATATGAATTAATCTATTATATTAGAAGAGAATTGTCATGAATGAATCAAATCGTCTTCTAGTGTTATTGTTATAATTGCATATAAATGATATGAATTAATCTATTATATTAGAAGAGAAATGGTATGAATGAATCAAAAATGATATGAATTAATCTATTATATTAGAAGAGAATTGGCATGAATGAATCAAAACGTCTTCTAGTGTTATTGTTATAATTGCATATAAATGATATGAATTAATCTATTATATTAGAAGAGAAATGGTATGAATGAATCAAAAATGATATGAATTAATCTATTATATTTGAAGAGAAATGGTATGAATGAATCAAAAATGATATGAATTAATCTATTATATTAGAAGAGAAATGGTATGAATGAATCAAAACGTCTTCTAGTGTTATTGTTATAATTGCATAGAAATGATATGAATTAATCTATTATATTAGAAGAGAAATGGTATGAATGAATCAAAACGTCTTCTAGTGTTATTGTTATAATTGCATAGAAATGATATGAATTAATCAAACGTCTTCTAGTGTTATTGTTATAATTGCATAGAAATGATATGAATTAATCTATTATATTTGAAGAGAAATGGTATGATTGAATCAAAATGATATGAATTAATCTATTATATTGAAGAGAATGGTATGAATGAATCAAAACGTCTTCTAGTGTTATTGTTATAATTGCATAGAAATGATATGAATTAATCTATTATATTAGAAGAGAAATGGTATGAATGAATCAAAAATGATATGAATTAATCTATTATATTAGAAGAGAATGGTATGAATGAATCAAAACGTCTTCTAGTGTTATTGTTATAATTGCATAGAAATGATATGAATTAATCTATTATATTAGAAGAGAAATGGTATGAATGAATCAAAAATGATATGAATTAATCTATTATATTTGAAGAGAATTGGCATGAATGAATCAAAACGTCTTCTAGTGTTATTGTTATAATTGCATATAAATGATATGAATTAATCTATTATATTAGAAGAGAAATGGTATGAATGAATCAAAAATGATATGAATTAATCTATTATATTAGAAGAGAAATGGTATGAATGAATCAAAACGTCTTCTAGTGTTATTGTTATAATTGCATAGAAATGATATGAATTAATCTATTATATTAGAAGAGAAATGGTATGAATGAATCAAAATGATATGAATTAATCTATTATATTAGAAGAGAAATGGTATGAATGAATCAAAACGTCTTCTAGTGTTATTGTTATAATTGCATAGAAATGATATGAATTAATCTATTATATTAGAAGAGAAATGGTATGAATGAATCAAAACGTCTTCTAGTGAATTAATCTATTATATTAGAAGAGAAATGGTATGAATGAATCAAAACGTCTTCTAGTGTTATTGTTATAATTGCATAGAAATGATATGAATTAATCTATTATATTAGAAGAGAAATGGTATGAATGAATCAAAACGTCTTCTAGTGTTATTGTTATAATTGCATAGAAATGATATGAATTAATCTATTATATTAGAAGAGAAATGGTATGAATGAATCAAAAATGATATGAATTAATCTATTATATTAGAAGAGAAATGGTATGAATGAATCAAAACGTCTTCTAGTGTTATTGTTATAATTGCATAGAAATGATATGAATTAATCTATTATATTAGAAGAGAAATGGTATGAATGAATCAAAACGTCTTCTAGTGTTATTGTTATAATTGCATAGAAATGATATGAATTAATCATAACGTCTTCTAGTGTTATTGTTATAATTGCATAGAAATGATATGAATTAATCTATTATATTAGAAGAGAAATGGTATGAATGAATCAAAACGTCTTCTAGTGTTATTGTTATAATTGCATAGAAATGATATGAATTAATCTATTATATTAGAAGAGAAATGGTATGAATGAATCAAAACGTCTTCTAGTGTTATTGTTATAATTGCATAGAAATGATATGAATTAATCTATTATATTAGAAGAGAAATGGTATGAATGAATCAAAACGTCTTCTAGTGTTATTGTTATAATTGCATAGAAATGATATGATTAATCTATTATATTAGAGAGAAATGGTATGAATGAATCAAAACGTCTTCTAGTGTTATTGTTATAATTGCATAGAAATGATATGAATTAATCTATTATATTAGAAGAGAAATGGTATGAATGAATCAAAACGTCTTCTAGTGTTATTGTTATAATTGCATAGAAATGATATGAATTAATCTATTATATTAGAAGAGAAATGGTATGAATGAATCAAAACGTCTTCTAGTGTTATTGTTATAATTGCATAGAAATGATATAGAAGAGAAATGGTATGAATGAATCATAACGTCTTCTAGTGTTATTGTTATAATTGCATAGAAATGATATGAATTAATCTATTATATTAGAAGAGAAATGGTATGAATGAATCAAAACGTCTTCTAGTGTTATTGTATAATTGCATAGAAATGATATGATTAATCTATTATATTAGAAGAGAAATGGTATGAATGAATCAAAAATGATACCAGTTAATCTATTATATTAGAAGAGATATGGTATGAATGAATCAAAACGTCTTCTAGTGTTATTGTTATAATTGCATAGAAATGATATGAATTAATCTATTATATTAGAAGAGAAATGGTATGAATGAATCAAAACGTCTTCTAGTGTTATTGTTATAATTGCATATAAATGATATGAATTAATCTATTATATTTGAAGAGAAATGGTATGAATGAATCAAAATGATATGAATTAATCTATTATATTAGAAGAGAAATGGTATGAATGAATCAAAACGTCTTCTAGTGTTATTGTTATAATTGCATAGAAATGATATGAATTAATCTATTATATTAGAAGAGAAATGGTATGAATGAATCAAAACGTCTTCTAGTGTTATTGTTATAATTGCATAGAATGATATGATTATAATCAAATAACGTATGAATAATAAATATGATTGATTAAATAATGAAGAGATAATGTATGAAATAGAATCAAAAATGATATGAATTAATCTATTATATTATAAGAGAAATTGGCATGAATGAATCAAAACGTCTTCTAGTGTTATTGTTATAATTGCATAGAAATGATATGAATTAATCTATTATATTTGAAGAGAAATGGTATGAATGAATCAAAAATGATATGAATTAATCTATTATATTAGAAGAGAATTGGTATGAATGAATCAAAAATGATATGAATTAATCTATTATATTAGAAGAGAATTGTATGAATGAATCAAAACGTCTTCTAGTGTTATTGTTATAATTGCATAGAAATGATATGAATTAATCTATTATATTTGAAGAGAAATGGTATGAATGAATCAAAAATGATATGAATTAATCTATTATATTAGAAGAGAATTGGTATGAATGAATCAAAAATGATATGAATTAATCTATTATATTAGAAGAGAATTGGTATGAATGAATCAAAACGTCTTCTAGTGTTATTGTTATAATTGCATAGAAATGATATGAATTAATCTATTATATTTGAAGAGAAATGGTATGAATGAATCAAAAATGATATGAATTAATCTATTATATTAGAAGAGAATTGGTATGAATGAATCAAAAATGATATGAATTAATCTATTATATTTGAAGAGAAATGGTATGAATGAATCAAAAATGATATGAATTAATCTATTATATTTGAAGAGAAATGGTATGAATGAATCAAAATGATATGAATTAATCTATTATTTGAAGAGAATTGGCATGAATGAATCAAAACGTCTTCTAGTGTTATTGTTATAATTGCATA